CCTCTCAAAGTTTGATTGTACAATCGTTTGGATCGATGATCGGCAAAAATTACGTAGACTTTTGTCCAGTGAGTGTAGAAAGAAATGAAGTTCAGTGTATAAGATCGATCGGAATAATATTTATTTTATAACAACGGTTAGAACAACATAAACATGAGTTTTTGACGTTAGGTGGAAGGCTCACCAAAATAATCGAAACCGTTTTTCAGCGCTGGTTACCATTTTCCTGAAACCCTTCTTACTAAATTAGCTAATGTTTATATAGGGTGCTCTCATCAGCTACCTCCCCTATCCAATTGTCACAGTAGGGGAGGTAGAGCACCCCAAACTTGGCGTCATGTATTATTAGTACATCAACTCTTTCTATAATTTACTCCACATGGCTGCTATATCTATTGAGAATTTCGATAGTGAAAATTTTTGGTGAAAAAAAAAAATTTATCGTCTCGTCAATTTATATCGAGGTTTGACTGTGTGTAAAACTTCTTTCCATAAGCTCAATAACAATTGGTTCTCAAACATTGTGAGCTTATTATAATGAGGTGTTTATATGAATGTTCTTTATCCCAAACAAGCATTAAGCCAAAGTCCAGATAGTAATATTTCTCCAACGCAGAACCATGTTAAATCACAGGCTCCTATATTTACGTGAAATAATATCTCTCCAACCTTATAATTGATATAACAAATAAGATGTAGTTGGCTCGATCAATTATACCGAAATTTCTTATAGCAAGAATAATTTATTATATCAAGTCTCGGTGAACATTTTTCATATTTCCTAGATCGGAGTTCTTGTGTCGAGAGCCATTTGTAACAAGAATTGACAATTACATTTGATGATGAAACACGAGGGTCGATAAATCATTAACTAAATTCCAAATCAATGTTGTAGCATTTTCAGTCGGCTTTCAACGAAAATCAATTAATTCTGGGGTTGCGTTCTTTATTAACACACTTTATCTGCAATTGAATGCTAATTTAATTTATATGCATATGTGAGCTATCCGATCATAACACTCGCTTTGTGTCATACTGCGAGATTCCTAATTGGATGTAGCACAGGTTTTAATTGATGACGTCATGGTATACTCTGACCTTTACCGTTTGCTAGTATTAGTTAAAAAGCTTGGATTTTCGCATCTTTTATTAGACGTGGTTGTTGAACATTCCCGACTGCTTACGTACTACGGTAATTCTCACGTCGGGTCCAAAAAAACGGTTATATGTTGTGATGATCACTGCTTTACAATACCAACAGCCCCCTATTACTATTAACTATGATGTAACTCTGTTTTTGTTTTTGTTACTGTTACGACAAGATGATGAACACGTGTATTGTTTCCATTTGCGTCCTCTTTATTTTGAAATCGTAATCTGTAGCTTTTTGCATTGATCATTACTTTCCCTATCGTCATTCACTTCCATTAAAATCGCTATAGTCTTGTTTCGCAGAGCAGCACTTTATTAAAATTGACTTGCGTACATCATTCCATTGACCAAGGTAGGTAGGAGGAAACACCACATATGCAATAACCGGGTAGATATCCATAGCGAGATCCATCAGCTTGTTCATTCTGCACTTTCATCTACCAAACGGTTCCAAAATACTTTTCTTTTCGCTCCTTTATGCAATACACGTGATTTAAATCATCCCGACTGCGGTGTCACATTTGAAAAACGGCGCATGGCCAGATACCCAACTCAAATTTTTTCACACACAGGAATTCAACCCGTTTTAAAAAAAAAGCTCAGCTAGATGTCGGTCTTGGAACCCTCAATAATTTGTCTATATCATATACTTGATCACCTGGAGGCAGAAGATATTTCTCGATGTGCACAAGTATCAAGAACATGGAGAGACGCATGCTATCGTGAATGTGTATGGGAGAAACTTTGCAGGCGAAGGTAATATAGCCACACTTGTATAGTACATAAAGGGGGTGAAAATGATGAAAATACTATAGTCACCGTAGAAAACCAACTAATCAGCTTAAGATAATATCACCATAGTATTAATCATTCTTTTCTTATAAAGCTTAGTCTTTCTAGTCTTCCTGACTTGTCAATCTTCCAATTCTTAATCCTCCTAATCTTCTGTTATCCCCATCATTGATACTCTATGATCTATGAGTAGATGGAAATATTGGAAGATTAAACCCAAGAACACTACAGGATGGAGACAAGTATTCTTAGCAAGAGCGACAACTGACAAATGGGCGCTAGAAATATTGAATGATTTAGCAAACTGTGGAGCATTATTCTTGGCAAATACTAGGAAACTAAGACAGTTGGGTGATAATGCTAGAGATGTCTTATTGTGGGTGATGAATAAACCCGATGAGGTCTGATGATCTTGAATAATAGTAAATCAATCGTTAGATTGATTTACGTTGTTTATATACTGTATGTGTTTGTACAAGCATATTACTCTGTACATTAACTCGCTTTCCTTTTACCTTTACCCGTTTACAATTACCCACCCCTTAACATTTTCGTCTCGCTTTACCGACTCTTAATGGACGCTCATTCTAGTCATCTCTCACTCACAGCTACTTTGCTAAACGAACGCTGCAGTGTACAAGGCGGTATCATGTCATAAATCAATGGAGAGCATGGAGAGATGGCAACATCCAATTTTCAACAATACATGGATTCGGTCTGATGGCGATATTGTTCAATGAAAGAATAGACTTGGAGGACGTTATCACCGAAATCAATATGTTGGCTGGTGAATTTATGAGATTGCATCCGCCCGATACTGCTTCTCCACTCGATCGATTTTACGCTCTGGCAGCGTTCTTTACACAAAAGTACGGATCCAATCACTCATATTACGAAATAGAGACTAAGTTAATGTATATGTTACATCCAATCACAGAGACAAAAGGAAGCAAAGCTTCAATATTAGCAATAATATTCGAAGAACTCGCTAGGCAATGTGGTATACCTAACGTAGAAATAGTGGCTGACAGGGAACGGCGCTCATATCGGCGATATCATTTTGTAAGATATTACGAACGGATAATATCAGACACTTTGGAAGATTCTATCGAAGTTGATGATGAATATGCTGTTTATTTTATTGACTTTAAAAAACACTCTACAACGGGAGTCATGGCGGAAGAAATTTTTGATCAGCATGCGCTCCAGTATTATGGAGCATACTCGGGAGATTATATCCCCATTCCTCAGGCGGAATTGTTTGTTCTCTTTGTTCATGATTATTGCCAGAATTTATCCAGACTATTAGGTCATAGCTCGGAGCTGTTCTACGGTGCAGCATTACAAAGACAATTTCTTACTAGATTAGAAAAGAATACGCTTGATTTCCAACTTATATGTCGAGATATCGAAGACTGGTGGACATACGTTGCAGTTACCTACCAATATCCTGAAGACTATGAATTGGCAAGAGAAGCTTTAAGAGATGTGGCGCCATATTTTGAGAAGGCGCAAGGAGCAGATCTTGATTTGTGGAATGATATGACAGCTACTATTCAGTCAGATATCGAACTATTGGAGACTAATGATGGTATTGAGTGGGATTATTCAGGGAAAGTTCAAAGAGGAGTAATCGGGGAGAGGGATCCGCAGTTCTTTGTTGGGGATGTAGTATATTTTGGAAAGTTTGGATGTCTTGGTGTCGTGTGTCGATGGGATCGAGGTGAGGACCGAGAGAAGCGGGGAAAGAATGACTGTGTGATAAAAGTATGTTGTTTGATCGAGAAAAGTCGGGATTGTGTACTAACAACAATTTCCGTTGATAGTATTTGATATTGAAATAGCAGAAACTGTAGGAAAATTTGCATATTGCGTAAGACTTTGAATTCCTTAATTATTCATAATTAATGATATGCACAATTCCGAAATCGCAATTATATCTCAATTTCTTACGTTCCTCTAATAGGATCGAGACCTTCGCCCAAATCAACCGTTCTATGAAATATTAACTCGGCGAGGCACATTCTTGTACTGTGCCGAAGAGAAACTCCAATTGGAACCAGCTACATCTGATCGACTCACTCGAACGGTCCCTCCAACTTTATACGGAGATTACACGGGCGATGAACAAGATTGGGAACTAGCTAAGGCACTTGGACCGATAACTACTGAATTAGTCGGTAGCTTTTTTGAGAGATGGGATCCCGAGTCGGGCAAGTATATAATGAACTGGAGTACGCGAAAGTGGTTCCCTCATGGCTGAGATTAGAAAAAATGAAGGTGGGAATTGGTAAGTCAACAATGGTAAATGAAAAGAGTGAGTGGGTTGGAAATAGTTGCCGACAGGTAAAAGCTGTGTGAATTGGGATGGCGTGAGAATACAAGTACGTGTGTATTGAGGTCAACATTCTCTTTTTTTTTTTTCAGATGCCTGGACTGTTACGTGAAAAATTTTACTTATCGCGCTGCAAAAAAATATAAAATGTCCTTGGATTTTGTAAATTTAGATTTAAAGACCGGGAGGCACGACAAAAACAGTACAAGTAGTTTATTACATCTGACAAAAGATTGGGAAAATAATTTAAACGACTTTGACAATGAATTATTGGCAATTGATATATCCGCCAAAAGCTCATTCTTCTGACTTCTACCCTTTTCACCCCTTATTATTTTTATTGTGTTAACCCCATTATCTGCGGTTTCCTAGCTACTCTTTCGATCTTTGCATTTCTCAAATGATATACCTTCCTGAGCTCCCGGTATCCTTTTAAAAATGCATCAACCTCAAGATCACCTTCCAAAAACGAATTAGCTACCTGCTCTGACAACTCGTCACATGACTGAGATTCAGATTTCAACTTTGCGATAAGTAGTTCGGGTGTGAAACGCTAGTAACAGGAAGACAATTGTGTAATAATACTTAGTTATGATGTTGACAATTTGGTAATAATGATTTTAGGGATGTAATAGTGGGTAATATTCACGGCAACGGAAGAATATGTATAATGGGTAATGAGGTATTTTTGGGAGGGGTTGGGCGAGTGGAATATTGGGTATATAACAAGACTATGCCGAGAATAGACCCAGCTGGTGACGTGGGTATGGACTAAAATATAAAAATATTTTTTCGGTTTCTCTCAGTTGATATGCAACTTGAGCAAGCTACTTTTTTTTTTTTTTACGTGTGGCCCACGCCAAGAACAAACCCCATTTCTAAAATGAATCAGACTGGGTTCTATCTCTGTGCTAAAAACAACAAATAAAATAGCAAATTATCAAATTTTCGCATTAAATTCAATGATTACCTGAAGTGCTTCTTGCTGCTTTTTCAGCTTCTCTTGTAGTGTGCTATATATTTCCCTCACTTTATCTTCATGTTCATGAATTGATTCGCGCAACTGTATTAACTCTTGTTCACGTGATAAGGTTTTCTCTTTGCGAAATAATGTTCTTGTATATTAGATCGAGACATGATGAGGAATAGGAAATGATTATATAATTGTCTGTTTTTCATAGGGAAAAAAATGTCTCATACTTGCTAACAGCTCGTTCTGCATCCTCATTTCGTCTTGCAGTATCATCATGTTTCTTACTTGTTCCAATTGCTCAAAGAACGCATCAAACACTACATCACTCGATAGCAATTCCTCTAGTTCTTCTTTGCTTTGGAAATAGATCAATGAGTAAACGACATATACCAGTTGAAATCGCATTCACACAGACTTTACCTCATATTGATGATGGCGGGGTATTCTTCAGCAATGGTCGCTTGTTTGGCAGCCAGCCCCAGCTTGTCGGCGTACACAGGGCCACCTCCGGTAGTCGAAAACGGAGGAATTGGAGGCGGTGGTTTGTTCTCATACCTTTGAGGAAATTATGTGAGCATGCGGGGGGTGGTGAAGGCACACGTTAATCAGGAAAAACGGCAACAGCTTACGATGGTACACCAGATCGATTTGTCTCATCTTGTAATGAATTGGTATTTGATGTACCGTCTGATGTTCCTGCTGTAGGTCTTGGTCTGGGGGCAGTAGCCATATTATTTTTGAAACTGAAAAACCCCAAAGATTCAAAAGGAAAGTCCCATTTATCATTGGATGCGGAGTTTTAATTTATCGACCAATCATAATAAGGCGTAATAACGGCTTAAAAACCAACCGTTACTGTGCACAAACATTAATTTTTACCATGTCACTTCCCCAGGGTGGACTTGTTTCTCACACACTTTCCGGCGTCGTACGCTCTCCAATCACTTTTCGACCAGCTTGCTTTGGCACGCCCATTCGCGTTTCCAGCTGGCTCAATTGCAGAGTTTTCGAAAGGCCTGATAGCCATGGTGAATTGATAAATATTGTGATTGAGCTTTTGCAAAAGACGGCTCACTCGGTAGCAACGATAACGTATTGATATTGTTGTTAAATTTGGTAGATAAACTTATTAGAGGTTATATGACATCAATTGTCAGTCCGGATATGCAATGTCTTCGCGGAAAACCGATATCTTCGTACTGCTTGTTATTTACTTCAAATGGAAAACAGACTTTTATTGGAACTGCCGTTGTTTCATATGCCGTTTACTCGATTTTTTCAAGTGTGACTGGAAATGCTCACAATGTGATATACTGTATTGGTAAGCGATGTTTCACTCAACACATAGTGACTTTACAGTTATGTGAAAAAACCTGATTCGATTTTTTCGCTTTGATCAGATGAGAACCTTAATATAACCGCACGATCACAGACATCCGCATCCACACCCATTATATATGATGTTCCACCACTATTCTCTTTTCCTAGTGGAGGAGTTAGTGATAACAGGAACCATAACAGAAATTATGGAAATGGTGGAAACAATGAGAACCAACCGAACATTCAGCAGATGGTTATGGGTGGAACGTTAGGCTTTGCTTCCGGATATTTGGTGAAAAAAGTCAGTAAACTAGCTGCCTTGGCATTGGGAGCTGCATTTGTCATCATTCAAGTGATGGATGTGCAAGGATATCATTTGAATTTGAGCCAATATTGGGGTCAAATGGAACCATACTATTTACAGATGCTTGATTTAGATCGAGATGGAAGAGTAACAGAGAGAGATCTTCGACAAGTGGCCAATAATGCGATGGAGTTTATTAAAAATACTCTTCACGCAGATATGAGTTTTGCTATTGGATTCGCGGTTGGGTTAAAATATGGCTAGAAATTCGTATGCGATAACAAAAAAAAAAGATTATATATAACGATCGTTGAGGATAGAATAGATTTTATAACATGATATTATGTGAAAGGGTCAAGTTTTATCACGAGTACAACGGGGCTATCTGCAAATAAGCAATTTTAATTCTTTAAGCGTAATAGTAATAATATACACATATTTGCAAGAAACTGTTAATAAATGCTAACACATTAAAGAGTAATTATTGTTTTCATCTCTTTACATCGAACGTTGTACAGCTTTGCTTTTGGATATTGTTCAGTGATATACATGAAAGCGTGAATTACCATTACAACATAAACGTTTAAAAGGTGTTTGTATGTATAGTATTTTATCCAAGAGATCCGGCATGCTAATACGTTTTTCAAAATTAAAGTTTGCTTTTCCCAGCAGACTGTCTACTAATACCAAACAAGCATGCATAAAAGTCATTAACCTCAAAAAGTCTGATCCTCGACTTGCATCAATTTTTTTGGTGGGACAAAAGTTTATACAGATGTTATTTTGCTCACGGGTTCGGCGTAACTTAATAAGTTTATGGTCATTGTTGACCAGTTTCATTCGAAGATTCATATGATAAAACCGATAAAACCATATTTAAATGTCTGAATCTGTGCAACAAACTTTACATAATCTACTTTTCACAAAACACTAAAAAGGTGCTGTCAATCAAGCATTCTCATTTCAAGATATGCAACAACGGTTACAATGTACCAGCGTACGAGCCACTCAATTCAATACCGCCATGTGATAGTTCATAGAATGAAGAAGCATCAGTGGCAGGCTTAGGCTTGGCATCATCTGTTGGCAGCGCTGAGTATGGCGAGTTTTGTTTTATATATTCCAGAAGAAAAGATGTAATGAATTGATACAACGGGTAAGAACGCATGTTATATTATCAAAGCTTGATTTAACGGCGGCATATACTGCAATGGTCCTGGCATTGAAAGACTCATTTAACATGCCTGCTGCAAGATGAATGCGTACAGCAGTGCGGTGCCGACACGTCTTGGCAGATATCTGGGAAAACTCTAATACTAACCCATATTAATATGTAATCTACAGAACATGTATGCCCTGGTATTATAATGGGGCCTTATCTATGTGACACTAAGCAACATGGTAAAAATAGAAATTGATGGCCGTGCGTTTATTAGAAAACGTGCTATCATTATTATGGCAATTAACAAACATTAAAGCGTTATCAAATATGAAATTGACGTTGTACAGAAAAGTTTCGAAAGGGCTGAAAGACTTGGAGCAAACGAATGCGCGGGATACGCGTTAGCACCTGCAGAAGATGAGGAATTGCATAATACTAAATGTCGTTTCATTCTTAATGATAGTAACACAAGAAACAGGGTAAAGACTAAACGCGCAGGGCGCAAATCTAATCTTGTTTCATCTGGTTTCTGCATACAGGTTACGAGTACAAGATTATTATTCTTTATTGACTAGCACTCTTTTTGTCGTTCAAATTCCGATAAAAGATAGGCATGTGAATATCAATATCAATTTGTGTAACTATTATTGATAAACAATTTTTATATAATCGATGAAAAATTTGCCTTGCATTTCTTCGAGTCTCTTTCGTTTACAAAAGGCGAAACAATGACGACCCTAACGCTAAGCTGCTTGCTCATGGGCGATGACCCTTATGCTAACGTTTTTACTGTTGATATTGACGACAACAAACTCGTCAGTCATCTCAAGAAAGCCATCAAACAAGAGCAACCGCAAACTTTTGCCAACGTCGACTCCAAAAATCTAAAGCTATGGAAGGTTAATATCCCTCTCGACGAGCCAGAGCCCAACTTGAGCCTTACGACTACAAACAAGTTTAACATCACCATTAGGGAAGGACTTCCAGACGTAAAACTACTGTCGGCGTGGGACGATATCTCGGACTACTTTTCGGGCCAACCGCCCAAAAAACATGTGCACATTGTCGTCCAGCCCGAACCATCGTCAGGCGTGCAAGCAGAGGCTAATGAGAATACGGAAAAGAGTAATTCGGTATGCAGTGTATTGTTGTTTGCGTAAACTCTGTGCAAGTTGTTTATAATATAATATATGTCATAAAGAAATCAAGCTCGAACGTCCAAACCATTTCCAACGTCAATGAAATCAATGCTTGCAAGTCTCGTTGCTCCGTCGTCAACATCTGCCTGCAATCAATGGTTAGCACCACCACTGATCTACGTGAGTATACTTGCTGTATTTTTCACTATCGTCATGATTATTCTACATGCACGGATCGATTTATTAACGTAATCTACAGCGGAGGAAACGATGTACGAATGGATATGTAAGAGACTTAAGAAAATGTTTGGTTCTAAAACTATTGAAACGCAAGCGCAAGAAGTGATCATAGATGTTTCGGTATGTATATTGCATTCCTTGACCGATTTTGTGTACGAATTGCATCTAAGCAAATGTGTTTTGTAGCAAATGGATCAGAGAAGTCTACCAATTACGAACGCTAATGAAACTAATCGTTGTGACGGTGGATTTGCACTTCTTAATTACTGCCAACAAAACATGGTGTCCACGTCTACTGGCAAATAATGGCTAGTGAGTCACTCTGCGTACATTATTGGAAATTAATACTGTATATAAATTATTTTGTACTTTTATCGTGATGACAATAATGTACATGATCAATATTTAATAAACAGGCGTAATTACTTTTTAGTCGAATTATGCAGAATATTTAGCGCAATGGTTTGTCGTTAGAAATCTTTGATGTGCAGTAAAGATCACATTCTTAATATTCGATCTACTCGATTTTTCATTGCAGTGTTCGTACAACTGCCTATTAAGGTTTGCATCATAGAAGGCAGTCGAGAATGACTGGTTTAATTTAATTACACTTTGCCATGATCAAGTTTTCATTGTTTAACTATTTCAAGTCTTATGCAACATGTAACATAAATTTTATTTGCCTCGGTTTTCGGTGAGAGCAGTGCTTCAAAAATTGAGGTTGACAAAAGCACTCAACTAATATTTCATCGCTTTGGTCTCAATTATCAATTCCAACATATGTCAAAGCGTTACTTGTCGCGTTTTTGCAAGTATTGATTTAAGACACCGTAAATCTGATTAATTATCGTTTTCTTAAAACATGGTAATATCCGCGATTACTATTACATTTCCTATTACAAATTGAAAACCCAAATGGTGTTGAAACATATTTATATTTAATATTACCAAGTATCTTAGTACTGACCAGTAGGAAAATTAATTTGTTTCCTAACACAATTCATATTCATGCGAGAACACTTGGGAGAACATACTCTTTAATTAAGGATCCTAGCCACTTTATTCATAAATTTTGAGTCATTTAGATTATACGATGGGGCAGGCTGCAACAAAGTAAGTATTTAATTATGTGAGCTAAAATGGCTGATGTGGTTGGGAAATCAAAGAATGTGACTTATGTAATAGTAGTGCTCACGAACGTTAAATCAGGATTGAGATAAATATTAGTATATGGCTATCTCTATAAAAAATATATAAATATAAGCCAGTTTATAAATTACAGCACTATTACAAGTATTTTTTAAGGAAAAAAATTTTGCCTTTGATATTAGAAAACTTTGACTATAAGCTCAGTAAAAAAAAAACTATAAAAATTAAATAAGATGAATTAAACTAAACTGTTATCGAATAGCATAAATGTAAGATACCGCGATTCTGACTCTGAGAGAGCCTGATAAACTCAGCAACATACACAACAGTGTTTATAGAAAATAACTAAAAAGATAATAATACTAGTCAGTGAACTTAATAAACCTTCAGATCAGCCAATTTAAATTAGTATTTAGCTTTATGTTATAAACAACAGGATTTGCCTGGCATAGATTTTATCTAAGATATATGAACACATACAGATAATCAAAAATACCATTCTTTTTTCGTCACACGTCCCAATCTAATTTACACAATTTATGAGAAAGTCAATGTCAATAGTACCACTTTTTAAGCAAAACAAAAACGCAAACACGAATTCATTTGCACAGAAATCGTACTGCGTCAGTTATATTTTACTCTGCCCCGCATTTAATCTTTTTTTTTTTTTGCGTTTTAGTTTAACCAGTTTGTTTGAATCCTCACAGAAGTTGATTGTCTGATCAAAAGCTTTTCCATACTTATTAATTGTCCGTGTCAATAAGCTGAGGTTGCTACATGCAATAATCCCAAGCGAGATTTCGCCGTTCTATTTTGCGCGCGTAAAGGTTTTGTATTCGATATAAAATTTAACGAAGAACGCGTTGAGCTAGTTGTTTGATTACAGTCAGTAGATAAGTGGTGTTGTTTTTTACTCAAGGCACCGGACAATGACTTGCCGAATTATTGGTTTCAGATAAAACACAGACACGTTTTTTTCAAAGCTATCGGTTTTGACTTATAGAAAGTCATTGTATATTATTTTTTCCATTTCAATAATATCAAAAATTATCAAAAACTGTTGTTTATAGCACATTGTGTATATTTAAAATTATATTATTTTTTTATTAAACAAATTTTAAACTTATAAATATTACCGTGCAGGTGCATCATATTTATCTCTCAAGCGCTCGAAAAAATTATCCGATCAATAATATGCATCAACGATAATGGTTGATAAATTTATACTTGAAATTTGTAAAATTTGGAAAAGACACGCTCAAGCCTCATTCTAGCGTAAACAGCAGATTTCGATTTATCCAATGTTAGTGACATTAATTTCAATATCGAAACGTGAAAACATTTTTATGTACTCGCAGGTTGAGGAGATCGGTATCTGATACTGGAGGAACAGTGTTGGCGGATAATCTATATGCGAACACATCCAATCTATCGGAATGTTGAGCTCTTGCATGTCTAAATTGTTGGCTGTTTCTCTATTTTCATCAAGCGCTTTTGTCCATTATAATTAACCCTGAATTTGGCATCAAATTCTTTGCGCAGAAAAATATACGTCATCACAAATTAGATTTATGATTGAGCGACCAATTATTTTATTGACTAACACATGATAGCCGCTACTATGCACAGTACATGATCTATTATTAAACTAAACATAGGAAACCTGTTGCATTCGCTGTAAAAGACGGTCACTGTGTTTTTATTACTTGCTGTGGTTCTTGTCTATACATTTCAATTTCAAGACCTTATAAAAAATAAGCCATTATCAGATTCAATCAAAATCTTTCTCTCTTTGTAATGTGGGGTGGGAAAGTTTGGCGTTTTAAGTTTAATTATTATTAATTTTATTATTTTTATTATTGTTAAAGTATATGTATAAGAGATGTAACATGCGGGTTTTCGGTAAGTTCTCTGACAAAATAGGAATGAGGATGACTGACGATCATTTCGTCAATATTTTAGACTGAAATCAAATGTCAAAAATACCCATTGGCCATTCTTTGCAGGCAAACCCCTTTTTTCATCGGCTGTTCTATACACCGTTCATCGTAAAAGTCGGCCCTGGACACACCCTTTCATTTGCAGGTGATTCCAACATCAAAACTATAAAAGCAATGCAAATGTTGACTTTAGCGAGACGACAAAACCAAGTAGGTGGGTCACTTGTGTGTATTTGACAACCCCTTGTGTCTCTGTAAATATAAATACGGTCAACCACATAAGCATAGCCTGATATAAACACTTGTTGGAGCATTGCGAATTCGTCGTTGTTGTTTGTTTCCTTTTATTTATTGAATCTGGGCAGATTATTTATCTGCCAGAAATTTCACACATTCTTTTTATTACTCCAGTAAAGAACGAATTGAGCTTTACACAGAGAAATCCGTTTCTTAATAATAATTAAACGGAAATTTAGTTGGCTTTATTTCCACTTTGCTTTTTTTTCTTCACCCCTTTGCTTCTCCTACCAAGAATTTTCGATACCCTGAATAAAATCCATAATATACGTCAAAATAAGAGGCATATTTCATATTCAAAACGAAGCGGTGGTAACTAACTCAAACGTTCTATTAGATAAACTGGAAAATAGACATGCTGGTTGAAATCAAGTCTCCGCAGGTAAGTTAAGCAGAAAAGGTGTCAGTTCATATTATATAGAGATTCATAAAATTTCCGTATCTTCCACATAGATCGATGCCGCTAACAAATCCCCCGATACCAAACTCCACCCTCTTCCTCTCCGGAAAAATTCATTAACTACGATGATAACGGCCACTATAACCGCAACTGTACCAGAGGATAATGTATATACAACGCTAGTAAGGACGTTCCCAAAACGGTTTGTCACCTTCAAACCAAGAACATCTCATCTAGATAGAGAAACCATGGATGCATCAAAGAATCCATTAAGAGGATTCTTTGTCTTATTCTGGTTGGCAATGGCAGTCTACGTTGTACAAACAATCGTACACAATCTAGAGTCGTTAGGAAGAATAGTCGATTTATCATTCTTTGAGTTATTTTCAAGAGACGCCATCGTGTTAGCGTTAAGCGATGCTTGTATGGTTGGGGCCACATTTTTCGATGTAATATTGCAAAAGATGATCGCGCGAGGATGGATAGAATGGCGTTACACCGGAATGGCTATTCAGCATCTTTACCAAGTGACGTTTCTTTTCAGTGCCGCCTATTGGACATATTACCGAGGATGGCCGTGGGTACAGAGTGGATTTTTCGTTCTGCATACAATAGCAATGCTGATGAAGATTCATTCTTATGCATATTACAACGGCGACATGTCGGCCTTTGCACATCGATTGCGTGTACTGAGAAAGGAGTATTCTCAGTTATTGGGAGAGACCAAGAAAGCAGAAGACGGCGATGAGGAGAAGGAAAAGAACAGGCAGCAACGTCTGAGCAGATTACGTGCATGGATCGAGGAAATCGAGAATATCACAAAGAGCGCATCGGGAAATGCTAGTTATCCTGATAATCTCACCTTTGCCAACTTTTTAGATTATTTGCTGGTGCCTACTCTTGTCTACGAGTTGGAGTATCCGCGTACGGAAAAGATCCGTCCTCGATACGTGTTTGAGAAAGCGTTAGCTACCCTCGGAACCTTTTTCCTTCTGTATATGAATACCGAGACCTACATTATACCTGTGCTTCCAAATTCGACGACTTCATTCTGGAGAGCCTTGTTACAGATGTCTATTCCGTTCATGGTGAACTATTTGTTGATATTCTATATTATATTCGAGTGCATTTGCAATGTATTCGCCGAGTTGACACGGTAAATGGCTTATTTTTACTTTATTTGATGTATCGAAACCCAGTGTGGGATGAGATTTTTACTGAAATGCTCCTTTGTTCTTTTTGATGCAGGTTCGCCGACCGTCATTTCTACGATGATTGGTGGAATAGGTAAGCACATTGACGATTTTTTGTTTGAGCAAGGCTGAGCGCGCATATAATTAACCACGGGCTTACGTCGTTACATTTAGTACGACTTTCGAAGAGTTTGCTCGTAAATGGAATAGACCTGTCCATCATTTCCTCCTTCGTCATGTATATCAGTCGTCAATCGATTCGTACAAACTCTCCCGCCGAGACGCTTCTTTGATGACGTTCCTCCTTTCCTCTCTCATCCATGAATTGGTGATGGTCGTTGTGAGTAAGAAGATTAGAATGTACCTATTTGCGCTGCAAATGTTCCAACTGCCATTGATTTGGGTGGGCAATTTGCCTGCGGTTAAAGAACGCACATGGCTAGGAAATGCATTCTTTTGGTTTGGAATGATGTGTGGTCCTCCATTATTGGGAATATTATATTGTAATGAGGTGTTCGCTCTGTAAATTACTATAAATAATATTATAAGGGAGATTGATATTTTGGGTTCAACTTTATTTTCAATCGGTGGCTTTAATCAATAAACTCTATTGTAAACAAATCTTGAAAACCAAGGCACTTGAAGCAAAAACACATTTTAACTGTTTGGATCTATAACATCGTTGAGAAGGCAAGTATGAATTTATATTATACAATGCAATGTGCATAAACTATTCTCAAGCGTTGAATGTGTTTTCTTTGCCATGGATGGTTTTGTCGCCGCTTCACTACATTTTTGGCAGCTAAAAATTACTAATGACCATTACCCATGCCACATGACCATAACGCTTCACTGGATAGTGATAATGAAATCCAATAAACGGCGGCACCGTTATCCCATTTAGCTGTGAATGTCCGCTTGTAAAACGGCAAGCATCTTCTTAGAACGCGTTATTTATGCAATGAACATATGTTAATATGCTATTTAAAAGTTATGCATAAAATTACGGATGCTTAGTGAAATAATACCATTTAATAAAATGCAGGTCATCATCATGTCACATGTTGATTTATTTTCCAAGTTACACGTCGTTCGCCAGCCACACTGGGTATATGTTTAAACAAGAGATTTTTGTCTTAAAAGCCAAAAAACAAGAATGCTGAAAAAAAAACAAACCAAAACCGATTGCAATTTAGTTTAATTCGAGATAATTAATAAGTTCTTCTGTGCTTTCCATTTCATTCAAGAGGGCGTTGCAAAGACAACTGACCTCACAACTTAATACCTACGCCTGATGCAAAGAACAATCATGATGCATAATAATGTCATCGTGACCTGACCCTTTAGGTTAGACTCTTATCTTAGTCTTGTCCAAATGATTTAAATTATACTAGATAATAACTATATGTATACTTCTCTACTTATGTAATAGTTTATGTATACCGCGTAAAATTAATAACCGGCTCCAGCCCAACAACCCGCTCACTCATATGATCATCACCCCTTGTATTGACAGCGCTGCCTTTACCAGGTGTACCTATCACAGGATCGCTTCCTGCCGTCATCAACCGTTGTTTGAAGTTCTTAATCTGCCTCAGCCTATCCCTCCAATGAGACATATATTCAATTCCACGAGAAGTTTCACGGAAAATATGAGCATATATATTAGCATGCATTGCTATCTGACGTACAAAGGCTGGTAATGAGCTACCAGATATCATCTTGAATTCCGATATGGGACCTATTTCCGGCATATCATGACGTCGTTGCATGTGCACTTTGAAGAATGTAGTTTGAAAATTTATGTCCTTGGGAGCCTCGTTAGAGGTTCGTTTGTCTCGCTCCGTGGAAGGTTTGGGTGATGTGCCGGGTCTGATTGGACTTTCAGAGTGAGGAGAGATTATAATGTTGATTGAATTGACTTGGCTAGCAATTGTGTTGAAAGCATAGTCCAAATCAGAATCATTATAAACTATGGTAACATAGTTGTTGCCTATGTGACGTTTTTTTGATGAGCATTGTGGATCATTTTCGAGGTTAGTCGGCATCAACGTCGCACAATGGAATATCAGCTGTATTATATCGTCTTTCCAATAGTATGCGTATTCTCCATCAGAGTCGTTCCTAGTGTCTAAGCCTCCAACATAGACATCTTTGCTGTTCTTAAGTCGGACCAGATTACCAAGGTTGTTCAAAAATTTGATATAATTTTGAGAACCACGCATATTGGCTAATATTTCAGCCTCAGTTGTTTGACCTTTACCAACATAAACAACGCTGACTTTATGGAAATCAACGACTGGCGTACGATCCAATACATTCAAAGCGCGCTCTGTGGGCTTATCATCTGGCAACAGCCATAGACCCGTACCCGGAGAAAGATCAGGATATGGTGATAGTTGGAGGAAAAGAAAGCTAGGATCGATATTAGAATCATCTTTGCGATGTGCGCGTCTGTCTGCGGAAGTCCTGGGTGCATGGATACCTCTACGACTGGGACTGTTACTTTCACCCGTCATGAGTGGGCTACCGTCGCTTTGTGTGCGTATGTGTTGAGTGATGCGGGGTGAGAATTGATTATCCGGTGTGACAGATTCGACGCTTGCGGTCGTTATGGCCGGAGATTGTTCTGTTGAAGTAGTTCTGTTTTCGATTTGTACAGTGTTTTGTTGTACATCACTATCTTCGGCAGAAGTAACAGTGTTAGTGATAGTAGTGGCGCTACTAGTGGTGCTAGTGATGGTAGTGGTGCTACTGATGGTAGTGGTGGTGGTGGGAGTGGTGGTCGTAGTATTAGTACTAGATGTAGCGGGCGATCTTTCTACAGTATCAACTATACCAGTACTCGTAGACCTTCCTTCAGAATCAACGATTAACCTTTCTTCTGTCACAGAATGAATACCCAATCCTGAACCAATGTCAAGCCCTGTTCTTGTCTCCTGACCATCATGACCATGATCTGCCATGAAGGTTTCTGGTAAGGAGACGAAACTAACATCATCAAACTTACTTTTGTTATCTAATTTAGTCAGGAAAGCAACGGTCCCGGACGGTCTGCGTATAATAATCTCTGCACAACCCAGTGTCTTAAATGTTCGCATGGTGACAAACGCGTGTCCTTGTAACCAAGTTTTAGAAGTAATCTTGTCTTTATCACAGTTTTTCAGTAAATCATTAATAAAAGATTTCTCGCGTTTCGGGTCGCAATTCGCAAACGTATATCTTGCAAGCATGTCAAAGCACGTCTCTGTCTGCTCATCTATTTCGTGATGTTTATCGTCCGTTTTTTTATCGACTAGTTTTGATTTTTTCTCATCAGCTGTTAGTAAACCGCTTACGATGAATGACACGTATTTTCGACGCTCGGATAGTCGAAGTGCTGTAAACCAAGCATAAATCACTTGATAGGCCATAATTCTTTCGTACTGTGCTAAAGGGTTCGCTACTTGTTGAGTGTCGTTTCCGGTTTTGTTGTGCTGAATATATTGAATAGCAATCCCAAACACTCTTTTGAAATCGTTTTCAATGAAATTGACATATAATTGAGGCAACCTCGCCAGCCCGCACAGGAATTCGAGAATATGTACACTCATTGTCGTTGTCGTGATTATCTGTGTCAAGGTATTGAGTGTTTCAGGCAAGAACCGAGTCATGGATGATGCGAGTTCAAAGCAACAAATATTCAACGCGTGTATGCACGGCTTTGCAGACGCAGACCCTTTTCGAAGACCCGCTTTAAATGCTAATACCAGCCCATCATTTTGATTTCGATTGAATATACTACAATAGCCAATTAACGTTGTAAGTATTTGGTAAGCGACTACATATATGTTCGCCTTTTCGACGCCGGGTGGAGGATCGTATAAACGATTGTTGGTAATAGATACACATAAAAGCTCTCGGAGATCTTTTATTTGAATGTCCGCATTGTAAAAGAGATGTTTCGTGCTCAGTTGTAGTGACAGATGACATAGCACGTATGAGTATAATTCCCAATCTTTCTCGTTTTCCAATATTTTAATTAAAATCTCCAAATACTTCTCAATTGGCATAACTATTTTGTTACAAGTAGTTGCACCTGATCCCGTGTTATCTGCAGTTTCGTTTGCCGTTGATATACTATCATGCGATACAACATATGGACTTGGATGATTAGCTGTGACTGTAAATGGTAATAATTCGGGTTCGTTCCATAAACGTTGTTCAGTCGTGTCAGCAGAATCGTCCGTTGGCTTACTAGTCTCATTATTCTCCAAAGATTGTTTGGTTTCTTTGTAGACTCTTCTATGTAATGTAATTCTTTGTCTCCAACTAGTCTTCCTGTGCAAGTTGCTATCAATTGATTTATTTTCAATAGTGGTTAAAGTTGTCAGTCTGTCATTTGCTGCTGCTGAAATCTTATCAAAAACTGCTGTCACTGTGTTGTCTCTATGTAATACTGTAGCCCCGCTTACACTTCCTAGATTCTCAAGTATATAGATTCGGTGATCTCTATTAACGCGCAATCTGAGTAAGCACTGTAACAGAGCAAGACGAGAATTGACAGAGGCGGATGAATTGTCCAAAATCTTTAACATCTCTGAGAATATTTCTAGAACTTGCAGGGTTGTGTTGTCTTTATACAATGTGTGCTGAAAGACATTAATTAGACCAATAGTCGATATAAATGCTTTACAAGTGTCTGTATGAGTATAGCGCTGACGTAAGTTTTGAGGGCACGAGCACTCTGTGCACTGAACAAGTATTTTGAGAAAGGAAGAAAACCATTGATCATTTGATTCCTTGATAACCTCGATTAGAAAATCCATGGCACTTTCGAACACTGTCATGTCATTCTCCTTGGGCAACTCTCTTAACAATGGCAATATAGCCCCCTCGATTACTGTTTCATAATAAAAATCTTTGGTTGCTTCATATACATCAATGGTCATAGCAAGAACTCGTTGGCGTACTGCTGATGAAGAATGATTTATAAAGAAAATTTTAATCACATCTACCAATAATATTAACCAGTCTGGTGATGATGGATAAAAGGAATACTCATCCGCATAATACTTCAATAACATTATTATGGAAGACTCTGATACACGACTATGAAGGTCTTGAATGAGAGACATAAAACGAGCAGTCGGCCCGTTGAATGATGAGGAAGCATAAAGTGACTGTATCTGGAATATTAATTGACTGTACGTTACAATTATGGCTTCAACCTCAGTATCATTTGTCGATGTTTCAGTAGTTGCCCCTCTGTCAACCACGTGGTATCGAGTTGTTTCCATAATGTCCATGACAACTTCCCATTCGAGACAAGTGATATTTCTGTCAGGTCTCGAAAGAATGTTGACTATCTGTTTTAGTATCTCGTGATGTAATCCAATGTCTCTACGGCTAACAGCCTTGCGCATCGAATAGAGTGCGGCTGAGCTCATTGAGTTCACAATACCTTCATTACTTGCTCTTGAAATTGCCATGCCCAACAGTTTCACACATCCACGTAGCATTCGTATGGAATCTATTTCCATTGCATTCTCCAAATTGTTACATAATACTCTAATGGCCGAATATGCACAATGTCCTTTCAATAAATTATCCATAACATGCCAAGTTGTTTGTGATAGCTGTTCGATATTAATTAATTCACAGAGAACTTCTACATATAACTTAACCGACGTTTCAGGTACATAGCCGAAACACACCACCACATCCCAGAAGCCAAGGCAAGATGATACATCGGAGATGTTCATTGAATGTTTCGGTACTTCAGCTACATCCTCAATTAGCTTCACGATATCCGTTTCTTCAAATTGAGCAAAGCTGAATTTGACTACATTGATCAACAATGAAAGTATATCTTGTAACTCGGATCCATCCAAAGTTGTTGCAGTTGATCCACTGTTCGTTCGATTAATACAATCGATGAGCCATTCAGCAAGCAGTTTACCTACATTTTTTTCAAAAGGGGATATATTTCTCCCATTATTGCATAATTCACGTAAAGCAGCTATTCTAATTCTAAAGTCCTCGCGTATATTATGGTTTTTAATTGAATCATAAAACATTGCGCGAAGAACGCTTGAATCGTTAGATTGTTCCTGTATGTAAGATATCATAAGCTGAAAGACCGAGTGTCTCGCTTCAGTCGGCATGTCCGCACCCAACAGATCCCTAACAGATGGCCATAGGTCAGTCATGTCATCAAACGTGTATTTGGTAACCGAAGCGCACAGCTCCTGCACTATTTTAGCACGAGCATTCGGGTTTGGTGCTTTCTGAAGTTCATTGATTATAGTCTGACAATCTGGTAGTTCGAGCAAGGAGACAGTTGGATCGACTTCCCTACCCAGTGTGTCATTTCTAGGATGGCGCGCTCTGTTAAATACGTCTAAGAAACTACGTCTTGATTTTTCTTTTTCCTCTTGTGACATGTCAATAAGTTTGCGAAAGAGTGAGAAGAATTTTTAAGTATAAAATTGATGCGGTATGCCAATCATTTAGCCTAATGTAGTAATATTAATTGAGTGAAAAAGTCTATACACAGTGAAACTCGATAAGTCGGACACGACGGGCTGGGCATGGCTGTCCGACTTATCGAGAAATCCGAGTTATCG